TTTTAATTAAAAAAGTAAATTAACCTGGTATGAAAGTGTACTAAAGTAGTCTCTGCTAGAAAAGTGGGGAGAAATTGTATAACCAAATGAAATTCTACTTCTCATAGCCAAGGTACTAGATTTTACCCCATTTGTGGTTGCTATGTATAAACTACATCAGGTTACAATTACATAACTAACATTTATTATTAAGAAAGACTTCGGTTTATTATTGGTCAATATAGAGCAAAACTTGCCAAGATAGACTGTGGATGATAAAAGGAATATACAATACAAACTATGGTTGAGCAAGCCATTGTACTTACAGTTTAAGGAAGAGAGAAGAAAGTACAACTGAAACAGATGAAGCAGCCATTGCAGCGGATCCCATCCAGGGCTGCAAAACCAAACCAATGGGCATAAAAACTCCTAGAAAACAAATTTGGATTTGTTAGAGCATATAGTACTAAGGAGATCACCATAAATATACAAAACACTTCCTTTTTTGATGTTTTTTCAGCATTTTATCTTTTTGTTGATGGAGATAAGTGTTGTTGCCAATTTTCACTAATAGAATGTTGACATTCTTATACATGTCATCAATGTTCATTACAGCTGAAAATTATAATTATTTGTTTTAGCATTACTTCTCATCAGACCAGGAGAATGTATACAAAAATTAAGCACAAAACTAATAATAAAACTGAAAATTCAAATAGGATAGGTCTCTAATGACTTCAAAAGAAAAAGCAATCCTGGCTAACAATCACATACCAGCAGCTATGGGAATTCCAACCAGATTATAAATCAGAGCAAAGACAAAATTTATCCGAATCCTCTTGACTGTCTTTCTTGATAAGTCAATACTTGCCACTACATCCAGAAGATCATTCTGAGAACAGAAATATTTGTGATGTTAGTGAGAGACTCTAACTTGATTAGTAACTTTTATATTTGATACTGTATATATTGACAATTATGTACACCTTGAGATAATAGGTGAATTAACTATAAATCTTTGTTGTTGTTGTTGTTGTGTGCCATTGAGTCAGATCTGACTCATAGCGACCCGTATCTAAGATTTATAGTCTTTCACTATAAATTTTAGATACTGCTAAATATTTCAGTCAGCATTGAGCAATGTTTTTCTGGAATTTTTCTCAGGATTTTGAAAACTCTCTTAGGGCTGTATGCTGGTACAGAAATTAAATATCTTTAATATAACTTCAGCAAATATTTGTTGAAGATAATTTTATTGTAAGCATATTCCTAAATCTTATTATTCACATTGACCAGTTTTTGTTGAGTCAGTTCCAACTCATGACAACGTCATGTGTGTGAGAGTAGAACTGTGCTCTACCAATGAATGGCTTTCAACGACTGAATTTTCAGAAGTAGATCACCAGGACTTTCTTCCGAGGTGCTTCTGGGAGCTTCAAACCTACAGCCTGTCAGTTAGTAGCCAAGCAAAATTACCATTTGTACCACCCAGGGATTCCATTATTCACTTTAGGAGCTTGTAATTCATATTTGTTTAGTTGGACTGAGACAATCAGGAGGTAACTGGTAACACTTTCCATACTCCCAGGCCAAATTGTTGCATTCATAATGGTTAGGAACATGGGAATTAAAAGGATAGATTGTGCTTGATATACTTTACAAAACTATCACTGACTATGTGGGGAAGCATGTTGGTTAATTTTATGTGTCAGTTTGGCTAGACTATGGTGCCCAGTTGTTTGGTACAAACACTAGTCTAGATGTTGCTATGAAGGTATTTATATGTGATTAATGTTTAAAATGAGTTGACTTTAAATAAAGGAAATTATCCTCATTAATGTAGGTGAGACCCATCTAATCAACTGAAAACCTAAAGACCAAATCCTGAGGTTTCCAAGAGGAGAAGGAACTTTGCATCAAGACTGTAAAATATCCTGCCTCTTTCCAAACTGCCACCTGACTACTGGATCTCAAACTCAAGACTGCCAAGGTTTCCAGCCTGCTGGATATTGAACTTACAGCCTCTAGAATCATGTAAGCCAATTCCTTATTATATATACCAATGACCTCCTGATTTTCTGTGTGTGTATACTATATGGGTATGTTATATGTGTGTGTACACATAAAATACACACACATAGAAAATCAGGATGTAATCAGTGTGTGTATTATAAGTACATATATATGTATATAATACACATACACAATACAATACACACACACACACAAATAGAAAATCAGGAAGTAATTAGTAATACCTTCTATATCCTCTATAGATACATTAGATATATAGATATCCTCTATAGATACATATATGTGTGTATATAGATAGATTGAGATATGTAGATATATATAGAAAATCAGGCGGTAATTAATAATTTTGACTTTCGATACACTACACGTACACACTCTTTCTCTATATATATATGTATACACACACACACACACACACACAAAACAACCCATTGCCACTGAGTCTATTTCGACTCATAGCGACCCCCATTGCATTTCCAAGGAGGTAAATCTTCACGGCAGTAGATTGCCCAGTTTTCCTTCCATGGAGTGGCTGGTGGGTTTGAACCTCCAACCTTCTAGTTAGCAGTCAAATGCCTTAGGCACCGCACCACCAGAGCTCCATATGTATATGTATGTAATGTGTCTCTGTGTGTGTGTGCATATATACCTATGGAGAGAGAGAGAGAGATCCTACTGGTTCTATTTCTCTGAGGAACCCTAACAAATATTTTGGTGCCTAGGGTGGTTCTACAGAAAAAGAATCCTAAGCATGAGTTTTTAAAATTGGTTCTGGGGTTCCTGAAATTGGTTTTCTAATCTGATTAGATTTAAAGGGAGCTCTGGTGGCCTAGTGCCTAAAACATTTGACTGCTAACCAGAAGGCTAGCAGTTCAAACCTACCAGCCACTCCTCGGAAGGAAGACTGGGCAATCTACTTCTGCAGTGATACTGCCTCGGAAACCCAAGGAGGAGTCACTATGAGTCAGATCTGACTCCATGGCAGTGAGTTTTTTATTATTTTTTTAAATGACTTTATATCCAATAGTAAAGAGGGCACTGATAGTCCATGACATGATATATAAAATATTACCATTGAGTAATTCTAATCAAATATTTATAAGAGATAAGGCTCTGGGTAATAGTGTGCTTGGTACCTTAGAACATTTCTGTCAAACTATTGCATATAATGGGATAGGCTGGTTGCCCAAAATTTGGGTGAACAAAGTGGGAAAAGAAAAGGATGAATACAGGACTTCAAATTCTCAGCTTAAAGTACTGCATAAACAAAAATTTTTATGTGTTTCCTGAAAGAAAATTTTATATCCTGTAGCCACAGAGCTGAGGTTGCTGAAAATCAAACTTAGAATCTCATCTAAAGAGTGACAGAATTACAACACCAGTTGAATTCCTAACTTTACAGGATGTCTGATATTTCTTTCCCCATTCTGTTCAGCAAAAATTGGATCTTGAAAATATGAATGGGAACATAATGGCAGATACAGGTAAAACTTGAAACACTGAAGTTCTAAATTGCGCTGAATTTTTTTTTACCAGTAGAAGCAGCCTGTCTTAGTTATCTAATGCTGCTGTAACAGAAATACCACAAGTGCATGGCTTTAAAGAACAGAAATTTATACTCTCACAATTTAGGACACTAGAAGTCTGAATTTAGGGAACTAATTCTAGGGGAAGGAGCTCTGGTGGCATAGTGCCTAAGGCATTTGAATGCTAACCAGAAGGCTGGTGGTTCAAACCCACCAGCCACTCAATGGAAGGAAGACTGAGCAATCTACTTCTGTAAACATTAACTGCCTCAGAAACCCAAAGGGGGTTGCTATGAGTCGGAATCAACTTGATGGCAGTGAGCTGAGTGCTAGAGGAAGGCTTTCTCTTAGTTCACACTTTAAGTGGAAGATCACTCTATCCTTTCAGCCTCTGTGGTCCCAGTGTTCCTTGGAGATCTTCATGTGCCTAACATCAATATTCCTCCCCCGGGTCTAGGAAGTTCATGGCACAGGGACCCTGGATCCAAAGGTCCGGCTCCTCTCTCCTGGTGGTAGTAGGTCCCTGTTTCTCTGCTTACTTCTCTCTTAGATAAAAGGTGACACAGGGCACACTGCAGGGAAATGCCCCTTACTCAGATCAAGGCTGTGACCTGATTGAGGTTACTGCATTCTACCCTAATCCCTTTACAACTGATTGGATGATTACATCAGATCACATCACGGGCAATGATCACATCATTACTTAACTGTCAAATTACATTGTTACATAACTGCCTAACAACTGAGAATCATGGCCCAGTAAGTTGACACTACTTTTGGAGGACACAATTCAATCCCTGAAACAGTCCTCCCACCTATCTGAGGAAATTAATCCTGCTTTGCCTGAGAAACTGTAATTGCCTCCCCTTAGGTAGGTGACATGCAACACTGCTGAACTTCTAGACCTATAACTAAACTGGTGTTGATTATAAAGCCAAGTAATATGAAATCTTTGATAACTTCAATCTTTTCTTCATTTATCATGATGCTGCTTATTGGTCCAGTTGTGAGAATTTTTGTTTTCTTTATTACATCTTATGAGATGTAATTCTTTATTACATCTTATGAGATGTAATCCATACTGCAGACTGCAGTCTTCAACCTTCATCAGTAAGTGTTTCAAGTCATCCTCACTTTCACCAAGCAAAGTTGTGTCATCTGCATACTGTAGGTTGTTAATTAGTCTTCCTCCAATCCTGACGTCTCATTCCTCATATAGTCCAGCTTCTAAGTTTATTTGCTCAGCATACAGATCTAATAAGTATGGTGAAAGGACACAACCCTGACACACTCCCTTCCTGATTTTAAACCATGCAGTATCCCCTTGTTCTGTTTGAACAACAGCCTCCTTGTCTATGTATAGGTTCCTCACGAGCACAATTAAGTGTTCTGGAATTCCAATTCTTCTCAAAGTTATGCATAATTTGTTAGGATCTACACAATCAAATGCTTTTGCACAGTCACTAAAACATAAGAAAACATCTTTCTGGTATCAACCAAGATCCATCTGACATCAGCAATTTATTTCATGGTCTCTTCTGAATCAAGCTTGCATTTCTGGAAGTTCTCTGTCAATATACTGCTGCAACTGTTTTTTAATTATCTTCAGCAAGATTTTACTTGTGTGTGATACTAATAATATTGTTTGATAATTTCCACATTCTGTGGGATCATCTTTCTTTGAAATGGGTACAAATACGGATCTCTTCAGTCAGCTGGCCAGGTTGCATCTTAGATGGATACTCACAAGCTTTTAAGATCCCAGTCACTAGTCACCAAAGTAGGATGGAGAACAATGTTTTTGTGTAGTATGTTGTATCAATTGAGCTTGATGTCCCCCACAACCATGGTCCCATAGGGCTAGTGATTCATTCCTGCAGGGTGTTTGGGTGTGGCTAAGAAGTTATCACATGTTTGCCCCATTGTTGTTGTTATTGTTAAGTGCCGTTGAGTCTTTCCCGACTCATAGCGACCCCATGCACAGCAGAATGAAACACTGCCCGATCCCACACCAGCCCCACAATCCCTGCTATACTTGAGCCTATCATCGCAGCCACCATGTCAATCCATCTCGTTGAAGGCCTCCCCCTCTTTCGTCGACCCTCCACCCTACCAAGAATGACAACCTTCTCCAGGGAATGG